CTACAACATCTATTTAAACCGAAGGATCTTAATTTGCGACAGCGAAGATGGTTGGAGTTACTTAAGGATTATGATATCACCATTCTCTATCATCCTGGGAAGGCCAATGTAGTGGCTGATGCCTTGAGTCATAAGGTGGAGAGTTTGGGCAGCTTAGCATATTTACAGGTAGCAGAGAGGCCTTTAGCCTTGGATGTTCAGGCCTTGGCCAACCAGTTTGTTAGACTGGATGTTTCCGAGCAGAGTTGAGTTTTGGCTTGTGTGGTTTCTCAGTCTTCTCTTTATGATCGTATCAGGGAACGTCAGTATGATGACCCTCATATGCTTTTCCTTAAGGACACAATTCAGTACGGTGATGCCAAGGAAGTCGCAATTGGGGATGACCGTGTATTACATATGCAGGGCAGGCTATGTGTGCCTAATATAGAAGGTTTGTGTGAGTTAATTCTCTAGGAGGCTCACAGTTCGCAGTACTCCATTCATCCAGGTGCTGCAAAGATGTATCAGGACTTGAAACAACACTATTGGTGGATGCAGATGAAGAAAGACATAGTGGAATATGTAGCTTGGTGCCTAAATTGCCAGCAGGTGAAGTATGAGCATCAACGACCGGGTGGATTGCTTCAGAAGTTGGAAATTCCAGAATGGAAATGGGAACAGATCACTATGGATTTCGTTGTTGGACTCCCATGGACTCAGGGGAAATTCGATGCAGTTTGGGTGATTGTGGATAGATTGACCAAGTCAGCTCATTTCATTCATGTGATTACAACTTACTCTTCAGAGCAGCTGGCTCAGGTATATATTCGCGAGATTGTCAGACTTCACGGTGTACCTGTATCTATCATCTCTAACCGGGGTACACAGTTTACCTCATGGTTTTGGAGGGCTGTACAGCGAGAGTTGGGTACTCGTGTGGAGTTGAGTATAATATTTCACCCTCAGACGGACGGACAGTTCAAACGCACTATTCAGATACTGGAGGATATGCTCCATGCGTGCGTGATAGATTTTAGGAGTGCTTGGTATCAATTCTTAGCACTTACAGAGTTTTCTTACAACAACAGATACCAGTCAAGCATTTAGATGGCCCCATATGAGGCTTTGTATGGTAGGTGGTGCCGGTCCCAAGTGGGTTGGTTCGAACCTGGCGAGGCTAGACTATTGGGTACAGACTTGGTTCAGGATGCCTTGGAAAAGGTTAAGTTGATTTAGGATCGACTTCGTACAGCCCAGTATAGACAGAAGAGTTATACGGATCGGAAGGTTTGTGATGTTGCATTCATGGTTGGTGAGCGGGTATTGCTCCGGGTTTTGCCTATGAAGGGTGTGATGAGGTTTGGGAAGAAGGGCAAGTTGAGCCCTAGGTATATTAGGCCTTTTGAGATTCTTGAGAGAGTTGGAGATGTGGCTTACAGACTTGCACTACCATCTAGTCTCTCTGCAGTTCATCCGGTGTTCCATGTTTCTATGTTTCAAAAATTTCAAGGCGATCCGTCTCATGTGTTAGACTTCAGTTTGGTTCAGTTGCACAAGGATCTATCTTATTTTGAGGAACCAGTGGCTATTTTAGATAGGCAGGTTCGAAAGCTGAGGTCAAAGAACATTGCTTCCGTGAAGGTTCAGTGGAGGGGTCATCCGATCGAGGAGGTAACTTGGGAGACCGAGCATGATATGCGTTGCTGTTATCCACACTTATTCACCAGCTCAGGTACTTTTTCTAACTCCGTTCGAGGACGAACGTTTGTTTTAGAGGTGGAGAATGTGATGACCCAAAATGTCATCTTTAAATTTAATAATTAATTTTGTATTCTAAGACCTCGAAAATCACTATTTATCATTCCTCGACTTGCGTGCGCAGTCCGTAAAATTTTTCGGAAAGTTTTTATGTGAAAAATGGATTAAAATGTGAATTAGAGCTTTAAAACTCAACTGAGTTGACTTTGGTCAACATTTTGAGCAAACGGACTCAGATCAGTATTTTGATAGTTCCGGTAGGTCCGTATCGTGATTTGGGACTTGGGCGTATGCCCGGAATCAATCTCCGAGGTACCTAGCCCGAGATATGGAATTTTGATGAAAAATTAAAAGTTTAAGTTCAAATAGTGACCGGATGTCGAATTATGTGCAAATGACCCCGGAATAGAATTTTGATGATTCCAACAGCTCCGTGTGGTGATTTTGGACTTAGGAGCTTGATCGGAATTTTATTTGAAAGTCCGTAGTGAAATTAGGCTTGAAATGGCTAAAATAGGAATTTAAAGTTTGAAAGTTTGACCGAGGAGTTGACTTTTTGATATCGGGATCAGAATCTAATTTCAAAAATTCTCATAGCTCTGTTATGTCATTTATGACTTGTATGCAAAATTTGAGGTCAATCGGACATGATTTGATAGATTTCGACATCGAATGTAGAAGTTGGAAATTCTTAAGTTTCATTTAGCTTGAATAGAGGTGTGATTTGTGATTTTAGTGTTGTTTGATGGGATTTGAGGTTTCAAATAGTTCGTATGATATTTTAGGACTTGTTGGTGTATTTGGTAGAGGTCCCGAGGGCCTCGGGTGAGTTTTAGATGGTTAACAGATCAAAAGTTGAACTTAAAATAGCTGTTGTAAATTTTCTCTTCTGTTGGAAATTCTGGGCTGTGATCGAGCCCAAGATCGAGGCAGCCCAATATCGAGACAGCCCAAAATCGAGGCAGCCCATGATCGAAGCCATGATCGAGCCCCATGATCGAAGTCATGATAGAAGCCATGATCGAGCCTCATGATCGAAGCCCCATGATCGAAGGCCAAGATTGAGGGTCATGATCGAGGGCCATGATCGAGGGTCATGATCGAGGGCTGCCTGGGCAGAATTATAAAGGAGGGCATTCGTCACATTCGCCATTTTTAACAAACTAGAGCTTGAGCAGAGGCGATATTTGATAGATTTTCAAGGAAAAGACATTGCGGTAAGTGATTCTAACTCAGATTTGGTCAATATACACGAATATATCATTATTTTTACCATTTAATTAGTGTTTTGAGATTGAAATTTGAGAAATTTTAGAAATCTCATAGAAATCGATTTTTGAGATTTTGGTGTCGATTCAGAGTCGGATTTGAGTAAAACTGGTATGGTTGGTCTCGTAATTGAATGAATTATCGGATTGTGTGAGTTTTGACCGGATTCCGAGACGTGGGTCCCACGGGCAATATTTGAGTTAATTTCGGATTTTATTGAAAAATATAGTATTTTCTTATGAAATTGATTCCTTTAATTTTTGTTGACTATATTGAATTAATTATGACTAGATTCGAGTCGATCGGAGTCAGAAAATCGAGGAAAATGCATACTACTTGATTAAATTGGAGCAAGTCGAGGTAAGTAACTTGTCTAACATTGTGTGGGAAAAATATTTCCTAGGATTGATAATTGTAATGTGTGAAAAGTCGTGTACACGAGGTGACAAGTGTGTACACGGGTTAAATGTGAAAGATTATGTTATTAAATTGTGTTGATCACTGTTGCGCATTAATTAAATTATCTTATCTTGTTATGTTCTTCTTCATTGATTTAATGTTTATATTTTAAATTTGCTTGACATTTTCCTGCTAGTTGTTTTATCTGTTTAGTTGAAACTTGATTTCTTTTATTTTGTGCATTATTTGAAGGGTAATTTTCTTTAAATCAAATATTATTAATATAAATTATTTGACATTTTAAATTTGGTATCCAAGCAATGTATTAAAATTTTGAAATATTATTTTGTTGAGTTATTTATTCCCGAATATTTTGTAAGATTTTTGTACTCGTTGTGACGGAGCCATGAGCTCTTTATTGTGAAAACATATTATTGATGATTTATTTTGGCATGAGCCGTGAGCTCTTTATTGTGGAGAAATATTGTTGTTGAATTATTTTGGCAAGTTAAATTATTTGAGCACTTGATGTGTAAATTGTGATATATTATGATATTGATACGCATGTGATGGTATAAGGTCTGGGTATTGAAATGCATGCGGTGAGATAAGAGTGGCATGATATGCGTGGCTAGTAGGGAAAACTACTAGAAGTCATGCGCTGTGATAAGGATGTCTAAAACGCGGGATGCTATTTCGGAAAAAATATTTTCTTTAAAATAAAATTGTGAAGGCTCCCGCGGTGAGATAAGGAAATGAGATATTGTAAATATTTTTATGATTCGAGGCGGTACCTCGTGAGTGCCCTTGTTGATATTGATTTATGGCCACAGTTGCCTTTAATTATTTGTTGTGATTTTCTTAAAGTTGAAAGGAAATTCTGTTTTGATTCCACGAAATATCATTTGCCATTATTTGTATAATTAAATGGTGACATACTACTTGATTCATTTTCATTATCATTTTATTTTATTATATTATTAAATATTTTACCATGCCATTATTATTTTTTAATATGGCCTAACCTGACCTCGTCACTGCTCTACCGAGGTTAGGCTTGGCACTTACTGGGTACCGCTGTGGTGTACTCATACTACGCTTCTGTACATCTTTTTGTGCAGATCCACGTACTTCTTACCAGCCCAGATATCAGTGAGTACCTGTGCACGGAGACTTTGAGGTATATCTGCCAGCGTCCGCAGACTCCGGAGTCCCCTTCTATTATTTTTATGTTGCTTCCTTATTTTTTTTAGACTTTGTTATATAGAGACATTGAGGATAAATTCTTAGAAGCTTGTGACTTATTTCTACCGGGTTTTGGGAGTTGAAATTGTTTGAATTATAGTTTATTTATTTCAGATATTTATTATTATTTTGCATTGATAGGCTTACCTAGTCTTAGAGACTAGGTGCCATCACGACATCATACGGAGGGAATTTAGGGTCGTGACATTATTGTTGCAAAAAATGAGCATATTTACCAACAATATTTGTTGTGGTGAAACAATTGGCGGCAAAGTTAGTTATTGATCTATTATCATGGCTTTTGGAAATAATTGCTATTGTGTTTATGAATTACCTTTTGCCAACAATAATTTCACAAATGTATATATAAAATAATAAATTTTATATGTATATAAATGTCAATACATAAAATTGATACACAAGTATGTACTCACTATAACTAAATCTTCTAAAATGTATGCTTTTACTTGCAAAAAGAACAAAAGCATCATATACCAAGGTTATTAAATTCTAATCTAATAATTCCAAAAATAAATCTTCTTCCAACAACTTGTTGTACTGCATGAACCATATTTCCAGCAATGAGGATTTAAGCATGTCCATCCTACAAAAGAAGATAAATATCTTTATATTTTGATAAAAGAAAGTTGTAAAGTACAAAACTACAATTAACAAAGAAAAAGAGGAAATCAGATATGCTTATTGTCCACTTACTAAACATTGCAATTATTTCATCACTCAAAATGTTACATATTACAGAATTGTTGAATAGAAACATTCAACTAAAAAGAAAACTGAATATAAGTTGCAAAATTATCAGTTCAAGAGAAATACTCCAAATAGAATTGAATAAATTGAGTTGTAAATCTTTCAAAAATTCCACATCGAAGCTGAATACTTCCCCAAACAAAGTTGTTGCACCAGAACCTACTAAATACTCCGAAGATACAATATTATAGTCAAAACAAAATACTATACAAATATTTATTCAAGTAAATAGACTCATTTGTGCATACAACCAAGATATTTACTTTTTTCATGAAAAATAAAGTTACTTAGCATGACTTGTAGACTTTACTCATCCTCTTCTTCTAAAATATAGCACTATAAGATCAACAAGTATAAATAGTAGCAAGAATATGAAGGCCGTAAAACAGAGTAGAGGAAATGAAACATACAATTCACTATATGACCTGGTTCTATCAATTTCAATCTCTTCCATAGTTTTTCCAATTCATTGACAAAATCAAGAATCCTCAAATAAACTTAATTAGTTGTGCATTTGGAATTACACAGCAGGTCCAACTCTACTAGAAACATGTACAATAGCCATGCCATAATCATAATTATAGGCTACAAGAAATATTGGACCACATAAGGGAAAAAGAGATGCATTCAGTAATGGATAGTGTTAGAACATAAACAATAACCTTCTTCCTTGAGTTTCCACCTAGGCTGCCTAACATAAAGAAGGGTAAAGGTAGGACATGATTTGAAATATTTAACTAATATTTCTATGTGATTAGAGAACAATCCACTCAAGCTGCAACAAAAAGAACCAAGTTCTCTATAGATAAAATTTGTAAAGAGTAATTTCTTTCTTTATACTAAGTAAAAATCTTTTTCTCAAAACAAGTCCCGGTGAATGCAATGAGAAGGAAATTGACTAAGTGACCTTTAGTACTATGACCTGTTGCATTTTGTACAGCTCTCTCTTTGCATATCGAATGTTTCATTTTTTATTGGTTAACTCATGAATATTTTTTGCATGTGTTTAAATCCCTACTGCACATTAAACAATAAAGGTTTCTATTAAAGCAAAGAATTACCTATTTTTCTACAACTCACGTTTCACTGCATTAGCAAGAGTTTTTCTCTCCGCACTTGCGCTATCCACGGAAAAAAGGAGGCAAATATAATTAGTAGTACAGATAATTCAAGAGCAATTATACACAAATATACAAGTGGAACTACTAATCGGCACTAGCAGCTTATAAAAAAGTAGTGAATGAATGATAATTGGTAGTACAAATAAGGCTTTACGGATGCACGACACAAAAATTTATAATTTATTCTTGAAATCCCTGTAATATTGGAAAGAGTTTTTTCTTCTAGTGTTTTACTCACTTGTAATTACTATAGCACTTTGACCAAAAAAAATACTACATCACTTCCTTAGTGCTAGCTTTATAATACAATTGTTTTTCTCTAAAAATGATTTACTTCTTGAACCTCAAACTTCTTTAGTGCAAGACACTAAGATTTATCAATAAACTAAGGAACAGAAAGGTCACTATAGTTTTAATTTTAACAAGGCAACTAATTCTCTTAAGCTTCTAGTTAAAACCACAATAATTATTAGATTTTACCGAATTTTTTTAGAGAACAAATAACACCTAATCTCACAAAATATCCAATCACTTAGAACCCGAAATGTCTATTGAAACCAGAGATACAGATACAACATCTTCCTCAAGATGAACGATAGTAATACTCACATCACTAAGTGTAAATATTTTCACTCTGCGTTTCCATCACTAGTGAGGATAAAATCAGTACGATTGAAATATATTAAGTCAATTTTCAAACATATATAGATGCTAAAGAAACGAATATAGACAAAGCAGAAACTAACTTACAGTGAGATGTGGGAATCAAAGTAACACAATCAAAGAGAGACTTGCATCCGCAAAGCCAGAAATAGCCTATTCTTTAGGAGCATTACAACCCAAAAAATATAGCCAAAGCATATGCCAAAATCTACATCTATCCCAATTCCAAAAAGCACAAATATACCACATAAAAAATAATTACAGTCACTATCTGCTTGTGAATCTTCAATCAATAGAAAGGAAGGTAGTATTTTAAAAAAAAAGGTAAAATAGAAATACCAACCGAATAAGACATGAGACCATTGATTAGAATTGGAATGGAGCTATAAGTACTAATGTGAATGAATCACACTATCTTTGTTTAGAACCTGCAAAAAAAAAATGGTTTATTTGATGCCCAAGTTTTTGCTTTGAGAAAGCGTCGACCCTGGTTAGGACCTCCTAACTAAAAACATACAATTGAAGCATTCAAGGAATTGAAACCCTAAACTAGAAACAACTAAAACTAGAGATGAAGGAGCTTACAATTTTAAGCCATAGCCGCACTACTAAAAGATAAGGTTGTCGCTCATTTGAACCTTGTAACTCAAAAGCACGAGCCGAAGGGTTGAACGAATTGGTAAAGATGAAAGCCAAAATAAAAATAAAAAGGGGGAGTGATTCGGGGATAAAAGGGAGGGACGTTTGGCGCGTTTGTTTTTGCTAAAAATTGAGAAAGAATTAAATATTGTTTAGGCCACATGTCAAACAAACTGTTAAGAAAAATAAGTATTTTACCAACAAGAAAATGCTTTTGGCAACACTGACAATTTATTGTTGACAATTTATTTATATTTTAAAATCATTATATTACCCAAAAAGTTATGGCAACAAAATTAAAACATTAGCCAACGAGAAATTTTTTGTAAGTTAACGTTCTATGATATAGCAACAACTAAATAGAGTTGTTGCTATTTATTAATATTTAGCAACAATATCATTGTTGTTGCTAAAAAGTTATTGCAAATTATATACTTTCTTGTAGTGTTTAATAATTGTCTTAATCTTATGAATAACAATATTTTTGTCTAAAATTGCTAAGTGATTTTTTATTATGCTCTCACTTGGTTTAATATGATTTCTTTGCCTATCCTTTTATAATGTATAGATGATATAATATATAATATATGATATATAGATACCTCCTTTAATATAACATAGATAATATAGATTTTTTATGTCACGACCCAAATTCTCCCTCCGTGAGATGTCGTAACGGCACCTAGTCTCTACGACTAGGTAACCTTAACACTTGCGAAATAATATTAATGAAAGCATAAATTTAACAACTAACTGCAACAGACAATTAAATAGTTGATATAAGTGTCGCTCGGCATGTACAATAACCAACTCTCGAATATACACAAAATATCCCCAAGACCCGGAACATCATAAGTCACAAGCTTCTAAGTATTTGTCTAACTGCTGCTAGACATCAGTAACGAGAAAAGGTAAAGGAGGAACAACATAAAAGGGATAGAGGGGGACTCCAAGGTCTGTGAACGCGGGCAGAAATACCTTGAAATCTCCGGAGCAGCAACAAGTACGCAACTAATAGCGGGACTTGTAGAAGGTACCTGGATCTGCACACGAAATATGTGCAAAAGAGTAGCATGAGTACACCTCAACGGTACCTAGTAAGTGCCAAGCCTAACCTCGGTCGAGTAGTGACGAGATCAGGTCAGGGACCTACTGGTATATATAAATTAAATAATACAAAATAACAATATCGCAGTTTAATAAGAGACTGAAATTTATCAAAAAGGAAATTAAGAAGAATAAAGTACAACACACAGGGGTAAAACAGCAGGGGATCTCTCGAGATACCGTCTCGTGGTCCTAAAAGTAAATGTGCAAGGAGAGATCTCCCGGGATACCGTCTCGTAGTCCCAAAGTAAATATACAGGGGGATATCTCGGGACACCGTCCCGTAGTCCTAAAGTAAATATGTAGGGGATCTCTCGGGATACCGTCCCATAGTCCCAAATTAAATACGCAGCTCAAAACAATGGAAATAACAGGTACAACAAGAAAATCCTACAATTTAGACTAAGTACACATCAAGGAAGATCAGGAAAACTTCCACTAAGCATGTTGCACAGAGTTCAGATAAGCATTTAAGACAAGTAGACATGCGATTTTAGGTTAAACAGGGTAACTACACATGCTAGTATAACTCAATTAAGATGAAACAGGTTATTACTTAGTAAAAATCGGGTTTTACAACAAATAACCCATGTACGCACTCGTCACCTCACGTACACGGCGATCACATATCACATCAGTACCAAATCCTAAGGGGAGTTCCCCAACACAAGGTTAGGCAAGTCACTTACCTCGAACCAATCTCAATCAATCGGTAACAATGCCTTTTCCACGATTTTCTGATTCTGAATGGCCCAAATCTAGACAAAAGTAATTACATACCATAAATACAACTATAAGAAACTAATCTAATTAATAAAATCAAGGCTTAAGCAAGCATTTAGAAAATCGTCCCAAAAGGTCGACCCGGGCCCACGTCACGGGATAGGGTAAAAGTCATAAAATATGAACACTCATTCACTCACGAGTTTACTCGTACCAAAATTATCCAAATCCAATATTAAAATCCAAATCAAATCTCAAAAACATAGTTGAAGAACTTTAAAACTTTTTCCCAAATTTCTCAACCCAAATCCTCAATTAAATGATGAAATCAACTATAGATTAGTGGAATATAACCATAAATGAGTTAAGAATAATTACCTAAAAGCTTCCTCTAACAATCTCCCAAATTATGCCCCAAATTCGAGCGCTAAAAGTCCCAAAATTGAAAATGGGATAAAACCCTCGAACTTGCCCTTTTCTGCCCAGTCGCACCTGCGACACCGCACCTGCGGAATTTCCATCGCAGGTGAGGATTCCACTTAAATTCAAATATTCCACTTTTGCGGACCAGGACTCGCACCTGCGGGCCCACTTCTGCAGAGGACCTTCCGCTTCGGCGACTCTGCCCCAGGTCGCCACTTTCCGCTTCTGCGGTCACTCTTACGCATCTGCGGATGCACAGATGCGGCTCCCGTTTCACACTTGTTCCCCCAGCTGGGCCAATCTAGCCTCGCACCTACAGCCACACGCTCGCTCTTGCGAGTCCGTATATGCAGCCAACCCCACCGCAGGTGCGGTGACACCAGAACAACAGTGCTTCAGCAATTCTTCCAACTCCCAATTTGGTCCGTTAACCACACGGAATCCACCCGAGGCCTACGGGACCTCAACCAAACATACCAACAAGTCCTAAAGTATCATACAAACTTAGGCAAGCCCTCAAATCACATCAAACAATGCTAAAAATACGAATCACCCTCCAGTTCAAACTTAATGAACTTTGAAACTTCAAACTCCTACAACCGATGCCTAAACCTATCAAATCACTTCCGATTGACCCTAAATTATGCACACAAGTCATAATTGACATTTCGAACTTACTCCATCTTCTGTAATCGGAATCCGACCCTGATATCAAAAAGTCCACTTCCGGTCCAAATCTGCAAAAATTCAATTTATACCATTTCAAGACTAATTCAGCTACAGACCTCAAAAACATAATCCGGATGCACTCCTAAGTCCAAAATTACCAAACAGAGCTAACAAAACTGACAAAACTCCATTCCGGAGTCGTCTTCACACAGTTCCAACCACAGTCAAAATCCTAGAACTTAAGCTTCCATTTTAGGGATTAAGTGTCCTAAATCACTCCGAAACCATAAACAAAACCTCCCGGCAAGTCACATAAGCAGAAAAAGATACGGGGAAAGCAGTTAATAGGGGATCAGGTCTATTACTCTCAAAATGACCGGCCGGGTCGTTACATCCTCCCCCTCTTAAAATAATCGTTCATACTCAAACGAGCATAGAGACATACCTGAAGTGGTGAAAAGATATGGATAACGGCTGCGTATATCATGCTCGGTCTCCCAAGTTGCCTCATCGACCGGCTGACCCCTCCACTGAACCTTCACTGAAGTAATGCTCTTTGACCTCGGCTTTCGAACCTGCCTGTCCATAATAGCCACCGGTTCCTCAACATAAGATAAATCCTCGTCCAACTGGACTGAGCTGATATCCAACACATGAGATGGATCACTGTGATACTTTCGGAGCATAGAGACATGGAATACCGGATGAACTCCTGCTAGACCGGGAGGTAAGGCAAGCTCATAAGCAACCTCCCCAACTTGCCGCAACACCTCGAATGGACCAATAAACCTTGGGCTCAGCTTGCCCTTCTTCCCGAACCTCACAACACCATTCATAGGCGAAACCTAGAGCAAGACCCACTTTCAAGCCATGAATGCAACATCGTGAACCTTCCGATCGCATAACTCTTCTGACTGGACTAGGCTGTGCGAAGTCGATCCTAAATTACTTTTACCTTCTCCAAAGCATCCTGAACAAATTCTGTGCTCAATAGCCTAGTCTCACCCGGTTCGAACTAACCCACCGGAGACCGACATCGTCTACCATACAATGTCTCATATGGTGCAATCTGAATGCTTGACAAAAAACTATTGGTGTAGGCAAACTCTTCAAGTCGTAAGAACTGATCCCAAGTACCTCCCAACTCCATCACACACACATGGAGCATATCCTCTAGTATCTGAATAGTGCGCTCGGACTGTCCGTCCGTCTGATGGTGAAATGTTGTGCTCAACTAAACTCGAGTACCTAACACATATTGTATGGCTCTCCAAAACCGTGATGTAAGTTGCGTACCCCGGTCAGAGATGATAGATACCGGCACACCATGAAGCCTGATATAAACTCGAGCCAGCTGCTCGGAAGAATAAGTAGTCATCACAGAAATGAAATGAATTGACTTGGTCAGCCTGTCTACAATCACTCAAACTGCATCAAACTTTCGTTGAGTCCGTGGAAGCCCAACAACAAAATCCATAGTGATCCGCTCCCGTTTCCACTCCAGAATCTCTAACTTCTGAAGCAACCCACCTGGCTGCTGATGCTTATACTTCACCTGCTGGAAATGTAGACACCGGGCTACATATTCCACTATGTCCTTCTTCATTATCCTCCAATAATAATGCTGCTTCAAGTCCTGATACATCTTCGCGACACCCGGATGAATAGAGTACCGCGAACTGTGAGCCTCCTGGAGAATCAACTCACGCAATCCGTCTACATTGGGCACACATAGCATGTCCTGCATCCTCAATGCACCATCATCTCCAATAGTGACCTCCTTAGCATCACCGTGCTAAACCGTGTCCTTAAGGACGAGCATATGGGGGTCATCTTACTGACGCTCCCTGATACGACCATAAAGAGAAGACTGGGAGACTACACAAGCCAAAACTCATCTCGGCTAATAAATATCCAATCTAACAAACTGGTTGGCTAAGGCCGGAATATCCAATGCCAATGGCCTCTCTGCTGCTGGTAGATATGCTAAGCTCCCCAAACTCTCCGCCCTGTGACTCAGGGCATCGGCCACCACATTGACCTTCCCGGGATGGTAGAGAATAGTGATGTCATAATCCTTAAGCATCTCTAACCACATCCGCTGATGCAAGGTAAGATCCTTTTGCTTGAACAGATGTTGCAAACTCCGGTGATCAGTGTAGATCTCACAAGGGACACCGTACAAATAGTG